ATTGGGAAATTGAGAAGATCCGTCCCTTCTCGAACGGCGGCTTTCTTCTTTTTTTTTTTCCAGAAGAAAGATCGCGAGATTACGCCATTCTTTCGGGATAACGGGACCGACGGCTACGTACGCACGCTGCTTCCATTAAGCTTAATGAGCATCTAGCTGTAAACACTCAACACTAACGCGATTACGTTTGTGTTCTTAATAACAGGAATCCAATCGGCGAAGTGGTGGTGGTTTCTGGAAACTCGACTCGATTCCTCGCCTCTGGGATAATGAAACGGCGTGCGTTGAAATAACGAATCAGTGACGGAAAGTGAACGAATTCAGCCCGAGGATCAGGATAAAATATAAGTATATTAACGAACTGGCTTACTTTTCCACTTTGAATCGTTAATAATTACATCCCCCTCTGCAGGAGTTTCTGTGAAAACCGTTAGCCTTATCCCGGATTATTGTTTCTCGTGGTAAAAACCCAAGCTCCTTTTCGAACGGGGACGCTGATATTTCGGAAACCTGAAAGGTTTCGCAGGTACACGATCCAGAGCGGGAAGCGCAAGATCTTTTTGCCAGGTCAGAACTTTAAGATCCCATTCTACGTGGCGTGGTTACATTCCCCTTGCAATTAAAGCAATTAGCGTGGCCGTGGGCAAGAAAGGGTTGAAAAATCCTAGTAGGTACACGACGCTCAACATTCTCGTCTTTCTTCCTGTCGTTCCAGCCGACTGTTCCATGCTCCAAGAATCTTCTTTCCCCCGGCAAAGAGCGGAATACGCGCCTTTATTTTTCAGTTTGCCAGAGAAATTCTGAAGGAGTGCGTACGTATCGCGTGCCTTGGGGAAGGACGAAGCGAAACAAAGGATCCAGATGGAAGGAGGGAGGCATCATCTTCCTGGTTGTAATTTAAAACCCGACCGTGCGCTCTTTCCTCGGGGATAATTTCGACCCTGCTCCGCTATACCGCGCCTATATATACATCTGCCTCGCCTTTCTCACCCCTGTCTTTCTCCTCCACGCGTATATATACATATATATATACACACTGTTTGTATACACGTGACTTTCGATATTTTCCACTGTTTCCTGACTGTTTGCAGAGACGCGTCCAAACGATGGATAAAACTAGCCGGTATATTTTCATTCGCATCCCAGAAGGCTCGAAAGAAGTTACGAGTTATTTCACCTTTAACGGGTATTCCCGGAAAAAGGGATGCTTGTGTATCGATGAAAGCTTGGCGAAGAAATCTCTCTTTGATGTCGATCTTCCTTTCTTTCTCCAACGTTTCGATCGTGTAAACGTTTATCCATTTTTAGAATTAAAATCTCCTTGAGAGAACGAAACGAGGTATATATCATAATGGTAATACAATGAAAGTAGCGGTCGTGAATCTCTCGGTTCGATGAGAGAGCTCGCTCATTGTGAATTGGCACGATAATAAAAGTTTCGAAAAGCATCGAACGAGGATATGTAAATTCGTGCAGAACGAAATCTGTAATCTTTGAAAACGGCGTTAAATCCTTTATGACCGGCTCGAAAATTTTCGACACGAAGGAATCGAAGTAACGGGAAGATTTAATGCCCGTGATCGATTTCGTGACTCGCGGGAAACGTTCGAATATAAAGTAGCGTCGAATTATATTTTGCGGCCACACAAAAGGGAGGACGAAAGGAAGGAAGGAAGTCCCCGGCTGGGGATAATGATCGGCGCGGTACAGAATCTGGTGAATATATATTGATGCACGTCCTTTTTTTCCCTCCCCTCCTCGTGTAGATAATAGCTGGGTTTGGGCGTCGGAGAGGAAAAAGAAAAGTTGGATGGCTCGGAACACGGGAGCTCTGTCGGGCTAAACGGCCGGCGGGGAAAAAATTTTTAATTGCCTCGTGGCGAGAGAAATTACAGACGGTGAGCCGACGGGTGCAACAGCGATCCCCTTTCGGCTCTTATCTCGAATACCGTGGACGTCTAGGAGGAGGAGGAGGAGGAGGAGAAGGACCACCTTTATCGGGCTTGTGTGTTTACCAGCCCACAAAATATCCACCTGTTAAGCAAACGACCAGATAACCCGATTCCACGCATTCCCCTGGTGCACCCTCCTTGTCTGGTTTACATTGGCGCGTAGATCCGTGACGATACCGAGACACAGAGTACACTGGAGCCGCATTAAAATCTCTCTCTTCGTTATTTCGCTCGAAATAACGCTCGAGCTGGGCCACCGCCGATATTCTCTTACTGTTGTTCACTTTTCATTCGGCGAGAAATTGGACGGATCGGGTGGATTAACGATGAGTTTGGGGAGGATAAGCGCGGATAATACGCATGCGCAAAGTGGAAAGGGGCGATCGATGCTGCATCGAACGAGATGGGATCTCTTTTCATTATCAGAAGGAGCAATAAACACGTACTAATGTTAAGAGATTAACGCCGTGTCTTCGTTTCAATGCCTTTCTCGCCAACGTTTAAATGTTTGTCATAAACAGACCGCGCTTCCGTTCCGTGACAAATAAGAGACGTTAAGGCTTTTAATAGGGTAATAACGCGACTCGACAAAGATGTAGAGACGTTGTCGGGATGAATGCTATACGCTGCAATGAGTTTTCCAGAAGCCGTTTAATTGCCACGGTCCTCGTAATGGATCGTCAAAGAGATTCCTGACCGATGCATAATGTCTTTGAGCCATCTATCACCGGTTTCTTGCGTGTAACATGTTGTAAAGGATAGTATTATCTATAAGCGGATGGTTATTGACCATTTCGTTGCATATTCCCCGTATCCTTTTGTTTTGCGATAAATTTTCAGTAACCGTATATAAGATCGTATAGCTGGCTAGAAGAGCCCCGAAGAAACGTTATGGAACGTTGGAAGTGGTCGTATTCAATGCGAATTTGCCTTTGGTTAAAATCAAATTTCGTTGTGTTAACTGCACGGTCGGTTAAATGGCCAATTTACCTTTTGGTATTACCTTGTGCCACGATTGTTTCTATAGAAAGTAATATTAAAACATTTAGTTTAATTGCTGGTTTAATTAGGAAAATGAACACGAAAGAAGACATTGATAAAATTGTACAGTTGTTGTAAATTACATAGTTTTTGCCATTGGTAATTGCTAACGAATTTTTGCTCTTTCCGCAGCGCAAGGTTGGAAAAACAAAAAGACGAAGAAACATGATAATGAAGTTCATAAAAAGTTATTTTAACTTTGGTGATTTGGAAGATACCTACTGGTTTACCCTTTCTTGTCTAAATGTGGCACCGACCAAACGCGTGGTCATTAAAGCCAACGATGATACAAGACAGACTGAGATTCACACCAGTAAAAATATTTAGGTTTTATTTCGTTCCTATCCCTCTGTTCCGTTGATTTATCCAGACGTTTTAAACGGTATCTTCTTTCATCTTATAGATCTATCTTTCGTTCTTCTCGGCCAATAGCGTGTTCGAAAATTTATACAATGTTTAATTTAGAAAAAGGTAGCACCATCATAAAACCATTAACTATGATTTCTTAAAAACTAGTTGAACATTACGACTGAGTAAAATTACAGACACACAGAACTACATATACTCGATAGCATTGACATTAAATATTAAAAATCCATCAATCATATCCCATTCCGCGCTAATCATGCACGCAATTTCGACATTTTCGTCGGAAAATTCTTTATGGTTCACAAGTCGAATGCACGTGCAATGCCTCGTGCCTTCGTCCACGTTTCACCGATAAACCAGGAGGACAACGATGGCATTACGTACTTTCTATTTCCCATCGACTTTCGATAGGCAACTTGTCCACCAGCACGAACGTCTATACCTTGTCAGGATGTGCGCTCGTTCCTCATTTCCCTTTCCCGTACAAGGAACGCCCTAAATCGGTGCGCGGAATCGGTAATAAATCGATCGTTCAATCCCGAGAACAACGTCTTGACCTTGCCTGTTCCTCAGGTCCTAGACGGCATTTAATCTGGAAGCAACGCACCGTCTCGTCTACTCTATTATTAGAGAAACGGAGAAGTGTATAGCTTTATTTTGCTACCGGTTTCTTCCGATGTAATTTCGTAGCCTTCGAACCGACGCGAGTTCGTGATGCGAATACAAACGTCTTCGGGAAGGAAGTCTCGCTAATTTTGTGAAAACGTTAACTTTCTTTGATATTTTCTCCGTTTTTTTAATCAACGGACGTTGAAAAATTTAACGTAATATATATTCACGTAAATATATTCTGATAAATTTGTTTGATATTTGGAATTCTCTTTGATACGTAAATTTTACTACGTATACACGTAAATTCTTAAAAAATTAACTAATAAATTTTCTTCTTGCAAGTTGAAAGATCAAAAATTATATTTTTTAATAATACATTTACAATATTATTAAAATATATTTATTTAAATAATGCATTCTTATAAATTAAGAAATGCAATAAACGTTTGATACGTTGATATAATATTTTATATCTAAGAAAAATTAGAAATTGAATGAAAATAAGAAATTGGTAAAATAAAACAAGTCATTGCATCTGTCAATCGAATTGGAGAGTTAAAAAAAATAAAATTTTAAGCCCTTTCTTGATAAAATTATTTCCTAATCAATTTATCAAATTATAAAGTATATATTATCAATGCACTTCTACTACCAATATCAATATTAAATTTCTGTTATATGTACAAATATTTACACGACCCTTTATCGAGGCGATCTCGGTCACACTGGTTCGGAGTAGCGGGTTTTCAAAGCTACCAGAGAATTCGATTGCTTGCGTAATACTAGTCAGATGCATTCTGCGTTATCATCGAGACCGATCCTGAGGGAGGCTCTTTAATTCCAACACGAAAACAGAAACGCTCATACGGCCTCGACCCAAGCAAAAGTTCGTCGAGGTTGCCAAGCCTGAGGCCAGCCTCCTATCATTATTTCTTTCTCTTTCGCTCCCTTTCTTCTCCTTCTCCGTCCTCCATTGAAGTTCGACTCAGGACTCGAGAAAGGTCGAAACTAGCCGGAGGTAGTCGATTGGTGTCGAACGCTAGCGTCGAGAGCCGAGCGCAGAGCCTGCGCAACGAGCAGCCAGCAATCGAAGAGCATCGTCAGTCCTTCACGGTGAGCCGGTTCAGTCGGTCTTCTTCTTCGCTCGTCCCCGTTGTTTGCAACAATCGTCCTCGTAAGTGGCTGCGTATTCAAATTCTTCTCTTTCTCTCTCTTTTCTACCTTTGTTTCTTTCGTTCGATCGTGTCGAACAAAACTATCACGGTAGTGTTATATATATATATACGGTTTGAAAAGCCCGCGCGTGCATAACCTTACCCACGCGTACTCGCTGACGAACAATTAGTGCGTACGATTTTGTTGGTGGACAAGCTTCTCCTCGAACTCGGGGCTGTTCTGTTTGTGGATTTCTACCCTCTCTGCCTTCCTGTGGATTACTCAACATCCCGCAACGGGAATTTCTCTCAAAGGTATGACTATTTCCGTATGATTGATATACTTGAAACGTGCTTCGTCGAGAATTTCCGTTTCAATTCTGTGTATTCTAAATAACGATAGAGAACGAGAATCGTTTTCTCTCGACGGTTTCGCTGTTGAAACCGTAAGTAAAATGTCGCAAGTAAGTAAAATCGTTACGTGAGATTGATCAACGAGTGTTGATGAAACGTCGTGTCCGAGAATGAAACACAGTAGGCCGGCGAAGACCTTGAATTAAACGTGTTTCGTTTCTCACCTAACCCATCGCGTCGCTTCGATACGTGCGCACGTAATCGAGGTTACTAAGATCGTTTTTCTAAAACAGCATAATTACGACACGAACAATCTTCAATGCGACCGGTCGAGTCAGCTCTTGGCGAATCATAGAAATGGAACTTCTCGACGCAGTAATTGATCGTACATTACGTTAGAGTTAAAATTGCGTGCTAGTTCTTCTCGTATAATTCGACTTACATCTTGAAATCATTGCTCGACGAGCATTCCGAAACCAGTTTAAACCTGATTTAAACCGATAAATTCCCACGTACGTTTTTCAAATATACGCATATACACAAATTCTTGTTCGAGGCATCGTCATTTACGTAGGAACGAATTAGATTTTCTTGGCGTAAAATAAAACGACTCGATGCGTTGCTAATGGATTAGTGATTTAGAGGCGCAGAGAAGGTTAACGCTTTTGTGCGATGCCGGAAATAGAAGTTATATTTATCGATCAGTCGTGTGCTAGGTATTTCGTACAGCTAACGCACTGATGGCCGATTACGGTCTGTGATCTATAATTGATGATCGTTTAAATCGCTACGCAAGACGTTTTCGGCCCTGGTTAAACGCGTAAATACTCGCCTCCTCTAAGCTCGTCGTCCTTTGTCGGGTCGGCTCGAATCATACGAAATTTTCTGCCGAAAGTACGTGTTGACACATAAACGACGACTTCCTTCAGATTCGAAATTACGCGAAACGTTAGACCCAGCCAAATCGCGTTCACATTACATTTAGTTCTTGGAAACTTTTCAACGAAGTATTGTTTATATTTTCCTACGGTTATCCGTGTAATTTAGACGGACAGTTATGCGTATTGTTTGCACTTCGGCGGTCGATAGTATTTATTCCGTTATTTCGAGAAGGAAAATGAGGAAAATGTTTTCGGTACACAGACAGTGGTTTATTGGCGTTCGTTTCGACTCGTGTCACCTTCTATTTCATCCATGATAAATTGTCCCTCCGATTATTTTCTTCTGCAGCTGTTCGAATCGACACCCGGAAGTGAGCTCTCACAACATTGTTTCGATGTTTACTTCGATTTATTACCATCTGGATAAATTTACGTTGAAAATCCTTGTTTACGATTCTGACCTGTCTCCCAGGAACAAAAAATTTTCGAGAGACAGTGTCTATTGAAAATAGCAACCGTAATTTGTGGCTATGACTCATTTATAAGCGGTGATGAAATTCTATGTTTATAGAGATAGTTGTATTCTAATTTTATACGCAGCTGGTACAGGATAATTTGATTTTCGTGCTTGAAAAACAATAGTTTAAATTTTACTCACCTCGTGTTCAGATAGAATTACGAATCAAATATTCTTCGTTCAATTTTAAAAATCATAATTAAATTTGTGAAAAGAAAAGAATATTCGATTCATTTTAAATTCCTTCTTGAAACCAGAAATGTTACAAGCCAAAGATCGATCCTGTTATTGATTTAGTCACGAGTACAAATTCCTCGCGTTATTTTTATCACAACACAAATTGATACAGTGGTAGACGCTCATCGATAAGTTATCGAAACGTGTTCTCTCGGTGCAATGCCCTAATGGCGTACATTTAAATTCATCCGTTTGTCGGTGTAAACAAAACCGCGCAACAACAGTTACTTATTTGACCGAGTCTTGCATATCCACTTGTTGTAGGCACGAGTGTGTCGCGTAGTAAACACCATTCGAATCGTTGGCACGAGCGCATCCCCATGGGAGGCAACCGTCTAAAACTAGTAAAATGAAAACTCTGGGCGAATGATTCAGAAGATGTTTCGTAGGGCACCCCACGTAGTCACCCTCTGACTAATCGCGCAAATAAAACGCGAGAAACATCCCTGCAGCCACCACCAATTAAAAGGGTTTGTCGGATCATCATTCGTAAATCATAATGCATTCGACGTTACCTTGCCAACTATAAATTTAACTCGGTTGGTCGGATGCACATTTTTTTTTTTAAATATATTCTCGAAATTATCCGATCGTTCGACCGTAGGAAGATTTATTAGACGAGGATCCGTATGCGGAGGCCAATAACAATGTTTTTGCCAATATATTTTCTGCGGGCGTTGCGACCGGTTTGAAATTTTCTAGTTTAAAAATGGATCGTGACTAGCCTGTGGAAATAATTATTTAACCGAGAGACTCGGTCGAGATACCGTTCGGATCGACTAATTTTAAGCGGAGTACCGGCATTTTTTAATCGTCTATTCCGTACGATTCATTGGCAATCTTGCAATCGGATTGCGGTTTTCAGGAGTTGCCTCTCATTAAACTTTAATCCAACGAAACGCTTTTGTAATCTGCTCGCCTTGCTCGTGAATATTCTTCCTCGATCGGAATAATACCGTTTGTCGGTCGCGAGCGAGATAGATTCGAGTGCAAGTGTTACGTAAAATCCTGCGTATCCGCGTTTCCTTGCTTCTTTTTTCAAACTCGTCGAACGAAATTAACTTTCTTAATCGCACATCCACGCATCTTTCATTGATCCAACTCGTGTAATTAAATCTTCCTGTTCTGTTAATTTACAGATTAGATAATTATCGTTCCTGACACATTCCTTTCAGTGTAACGTTTAAAAACAACGAATATTACAAAAACAATCCTATTTGGCGTCGATCCATTAGCAAGAACTTAATTTACGGTTAACCGATAAACCGTTCGACCGTTTGCAAATACACGCAAGAATGTTGCAGAGCATTCTACTCTCTCTCTCTTTCTCTCTCTCTCTCTCCATAAATTCACGACTGTCTTCCCTCATCCTATCTTTAGAAAAAAAAAAGAAATTTTTCCTTTCCACACCGAAAATTCGCGTTTACTCTTCCCTCCGCTATTCTTCCACGGTTGCGAGCCTGCACCCGGCGCAGGATAATAAACAACTTGTTCTCCCCCGAATTTCACCGTGGAATAATTTAAAAACTCGGCGTGGCCCGCCTCGTAAATTTGCACGGGGCTGGTTGGACGAGGAGAGGGTTGTTGGAAAAAGCGTGGAGGGATGCGAGAAAGAGGGGGGTCCGGTTGTGTACCGTTGTCGTGTGTTTGTTTGGACGGAAACCGGTCGCCGGCGTGGCGCGCGTGTAGGTGTGCGCGTAGAGATGTGGGGGAGAGCCTTGCCGGAGGAGATGAAACGTAGGGAGACGCGCAGCAACGACGCGCGTTTCGAGTGCCGTTACAACGTCCGAGAGAACTCTCGATAAACCGCGCCACGCTGCATCTCGCATTAGGGTGAAGCCCGGATGGATGGAAAACAGGATTCCTCGTGACGCGAGGAGAGTAAGGAAGGGGGGCTTCGCTCTTCCAAGAGCACTTGCGTCTCTCCTCCTTGTCGGACGAGATGATTCGAACGTGCGAGGTTCGCGTGATTAATTGCCGTTTCCACGCTTTCCACCGCGTTGAGGCCGTGTTTCGAGGGGTTTCGGTTCGGTTGGAATGCACCCGGCCACTTCGGGTTGGACTCGCGTGAGGGGACTCTAATGCGAGTTGATTAGCGAGTGTGTACGGTATTGTGAAAGTTGGAGGGTAAACACGCTTGTGTTTCCTGGTAAAGTGTCGAGTGGAATTTTCTACGGATGGTCTAGGGCTTGGAAGACCCTAGAGGTCTCCTTAAGACCCGGATTATCTCGATCTTTAATGCGCTTTTAATTCGAGGAATTTAGCGTAATGGTGGCCCTTGGCCGTGGATGATGCGTCTCGCGGTACGAGGAGCGCGTTGTTGCTCAGCGATATGTTTGCTCCTTTGGTCACGAACGATTAAATATTGTTGGTTTAAGAGACGTGACTTTGCGTAGAAAGCACGATTGTTTATAGTTTCTTCAGGAGAATGTTTAGGATCGTTTGAATGTAAATTGTATTATTTAATTCTTTCCTTTCTTTTTCGCAAATTTTACAAAATATCATCCGATTTAATATTTAAACGAGATCGCAGGACGGTGACTCGAGAGACGTAGAGAGATTCGTTGATCTGCCTCGGAAGTTTCGAAACTGCTGGGGGAACGATCTTGATGTAAAAACTACAAAGAGCGTAATTTCGCATATTTATAGACGCTTGGAATAACCTGGCTAGTTACCAGCGTGAAAAGAATTCTCGTGAATGAATAGAATATTCCTCTCTGACTAATGATTTACAATAATTCAGACGAATCGAATCACGCGTGTTCCGCGAAAACTCATCATTATTCATTCATTCATAGCTTTAATCCGTACCTTTAACAGTTCTTGTACTCGACATTATTACTTATTATCTTTACATAATTTTTCCAAAGATTATCTTACGAGTCTTCGAGACAATCGTCGACGCGTTGTATAACGTTGTTGAGTTGTCCTGGTATGCGGGGTGAGCCGTGATTACGAAACACCTTGATATCAGAAATCGGATTGGTTTTAATCCTCGTTGTTAAGGGGGGAGAACAATACTCGTGAATCCTTGCCAATGTTTGATAGATCGAAACGACACGTCGATCCGCCACGAGGCTATTGCGAAAAATCATCGATCATGCTGCGTTTTCTCTAACGGGTAACCAATAGGTTGCATCCCGCGATTTATCGATCATCGTGGTGAAAGTGACGCCGTTTGATACAAATTTAGAAAGCCGGTCGTGTCGTTTCTACGGTTCGCTCTGCTCGCGACGTGTACGTGTTTTTGATCGTGTGCGACTTATAGAAACGAAAAATGCATAATACTTAATTAAATCGAATCTAATCCTTTTATCCTCGGCCGT